TACACTTTTAAAACATTATTATTTTTTGTTTAAATGCCTGCCGGGTATTTTAAGTTGAGGTGCTATTTGTTTTTATATTAGACTTTTTCTATATTTACTGTTGCACTAAAGTCCAAAAGTGAAGATTTTATGTTATTTATTACTTGATTGTTCAAGCTACCTCACAGAAGTGCTCTGTTTGTTAACAGAGTTGTTGAATGTTAAAATAAGGTGAATTAAATAAAAAAATAAGGAACATCCTGGATCTGTTTTTTCTCTCTTCTTTATTTTTTTTAATGTATTATATAAGTATCGGATCGGGACTCGGTATCGGTAGATACTCAAAATCAAATGACTCGGACTCGGACTCGAGGGCAAAAAAACCTGATCGGGACATCCCTAGATGTTAACCCCAAAAATATTACTGCTCTTGTCTACTTACTGGGAATTATTTGGCAGTTTCTTCTGTGCTCAACAGGACAGTCTGTCCTGTCGCTCTAACTAGACAACAAGACTTTTATTCTCACAAGTCAACCTTTTTTTTTTTTTTTTTTTTACAATCAAGATATGATACTGTTTAAAAGTTTGGGGTCATAAGAATATGATAAGATTTTTTATTTAGCAAGGAAGCATTTAATTGGTCAAAAGACTTTTACATTGTTTCCAAAAAAATCTTTTAAACTTTCTATTCACCAAATAATCCTAAAAAAGCTGTATCATGGTGTCCAAATAAATATGAATATTAATCAGCACAACTGTTTTCAACATTGATAATAAGATGCTTCTTAAAGTCGGCATGAAACGGAAGTTGAGATTGTAATTTTTTCCTTGTGACGTATATCCGAGTGAAACGGCTTCTGAAATTAGAAAAAAATGTAGGGCGGGGCTTGATTTCGTCCTTTGGGAATTGATTGGATCGTTGGAGGTTGGGCGTTGCAAACAAAATGGAGGCAGATTTGAATGTATCTTCTCTGAGAGGCGTTGCACCGATAGCCGCACCCTCATCAGCTCTGGCCGCACCCTTTCGCCATTGCACGTGACGTGACCGAAAGAGAAGAGTGGTCGTTTCGAGGGGGGAGGGAAGGGTAATGTATTTGATTAAAGATTATAACGGTACATGAATTTAAAAAAAATAATGAAGTGCACAGATAAATCATTTATAATAAACACTACAATATTACTTATAAAAAGAAGATTTGTCAAATTTGATTTCATGCCGACTTTAAGCACCAAATTAAAGCTGCTGTCCGTAGCTTTTTTTGGGTTAAAAATTATCCAAAATACATATTTGATAAAATACGTAACCAGCCAGTGTTCAAAACTATCTGCTTGTCTTAGCTCGATTCAAAGCGGTAAGCTTGTAATAATGTTTTTAATTCCAGTGGTACTGGTGGATTTCCGCGGGAGATTCGAGCATGTCTTTGCGTCATTACGTCACATCTGTACACATAAACAAGGAGTCTCGGCTAGTAGGCTATATTGCGTGTGAGGATGTTGGAGGTGGAGATTTATAGCCTTTTCTAACAGCACTTGATATAATTAAACTTATCAATTCGATGGCGGATCCAGAAATATTCAAACGACAATCATTAGTGACAACTAGAGATTCACCCGCTGTAAAATGCAAAAGACTTCGTTCGGACTTCGGAGTGGCTACAGAAAGAAGAGACTGCAACCGGACCCATGCGAAAACAAGGATAATATCGGAAGGACATTACATGTAGTCACGCAATGCTGACGTTGTTAACATTAACAATTTGAGAACAATGTATAATTTGCACGGTTTTGCGTGATATGATAACTTATAAGCAATTGTTAGATTTACTGCAATGTCAGAACCAGAACAAAAGTGGATGTTTCTTACTTGTTCAGATGACATTTTCCGGTGAAAATTCTTATGTTGGTCATACTTCCAAAAACAATAATCTGTGATTCTGAATGACAGTATCGACACCGGCGGTGACTGACAGCTGCACAGCACACTCTCCTCAAACACTGTGTTCATCCGCGCGGTGCCGTGTCGAGGGTGTTGAAGTACAACTCACGTAAAGTTGATAAGTCCGCGAATGACTGCAATTGCAGATTTCGAACAGAGATGGCGACAAAGAGGAAAAACGCCGGACTGCAGCTTTAACATATTGGAATGATGGCTGCTGAAAATTCAGCTTTTCCATCACAGGATTTAATTACATCTTAAAATATTAGAATAGAAAACAGTTCTTTTAAATTGTAATAATAATTCACAATATTGCATTTCTTACTGCATTTTTTTATCAAGTAAATGTATAATAAATGAGCAAAAACATTTAAAAAATCTTACTAACCCTAATCTTTTGAACGGTAGTGTAAATTTATTTATTTTTTTTCAAATATTTATCAATATTTTGCCATATTACTTTTTTTTTTTTAACTTTATTTGTGAATAAATAAATGCAGCCTTGCTGACTTCTTTCAAAAACATAAAATAGTGTTTCCCAACTTTAAGTACTGTACAGGTGTGTGTATATAGATTGTTACAGTATATATAAATATGGTACAGTGTGTGTGTGTGTATATATATATATTTTATTCTTTATTTTACCAGGATAGTCCCATTGAGATATAACATCTCTTCTTCCTGGGAGTCCTGGCCAAAATGGTTGGACAAAAAGTTTCGGTAACACTTTATTTCGATAGTCCACTTTAGACATTATACTAACTATAAGTAACTTAGCAGCTACATGTCAACTAACTGTCATTAGAGTATTAGTAGACTGTCTGCTTAATATCTGCTAACACTTTATTTTGTTGGTCCCCCAACAGACACTCTACTAACTATAAGTAACTTAGCAACTACAAGTCAACTTGTTCTTCTAACCCGAACCCTAACACCTAACCGTAACCTACCAGTCTACTGACAGTCTACTACAGTCTACTAATACTCTAATGACAGTTAGTTGACATGTTGTTGAAAAGGTACTTATAGTTAGTAGAATGTCTAAAGTGACTATCGAAATAAAGTGTAACCAAAGTTTCACATAAATAACATACAAACATAAAACTAAAATCTTACATAAATTTTACCCAGCACTCATAAAATGACAGAACAAAGGCTACGTAACAAAACATGCACAGGTTTCCTTTAAATTGGTCCATAAGAGATTTTTAAAAATGTTTAAAGAGGGGAGTGTTTCTAACATTATTATACTCTGCAACTCGTTCCATAACCAGGGAGCATAAAAAGAGATTTTACCAAGCTCTGAACCTTTAAAAGAAGTTTCGCACTAGATCTATAAATTATGAAATAAATGTTTTTCTCCAAAACACGTTGGCCATAATTATTGGCACCCTTTTATTAAATACCTTTTGCAATCTCCTTTTTCCAAGATCACAGCTCTGAGTTTTCTCCTATAATGCCTGATGAGTTTGGAGAACAACTGACAAGAGATCAGAGACCATTCCTCCATACAGAATCTCTCCAGATCCTTCAGATTCCCAGATCCATGTTGGTGCTTCTCAGGTCAGGGGACTGGGACGGTCATGGCAGAAGATTCATTTTGTGCTCCGTAACACATTTCTGTGTTGATTTTGATGTTTGTTTTGGATCGTTGTCCTGATGGAAGACCCAACCACGGCCCATTATAAGATTTCTAGCTAAAGTCGTCAGGTTTTGATTTTTTATCTGTTGATATTTGATAGAATCCATGATGCCATGTATCTGAACAAGATGTCTAGGACCTCTGGCAGAAGAATATGCCCACAACATTAAAGATCCAACGGTATATTAAATTGTACACATACTTTTTATTCTTGTGTGCACCAAACCCATCTAGCGTGTTTGCTGCCAAAAAGCATTTTTTTTAGTTTCATCTGACCACAGAGCCATGTGCCATTTGAAGTTCCGGTCGTTTCTGACAACTGAATTTGCTGGAGTTTATTTTTGGTTAATTATCGTAAAAAATTCTAGGGGTGCCAATAATTGTGGCCCACGTGTTTTGGAGAAAAATCTTTTTTCATGATGTGATTACCCCCCCCCCCCCCCCCCCCCAACCAATTATTTTACTTCAATGAAAGGTTAGATTTTTGTAAATCTTTTGAATGAAAGATCAAAAGGATAAACAATGCAGATTTATTTTACAGCCATTTTTTTATATTTACCAGGAGTGCCATTAATTCTGACCACAACTGTATACACAATTACGCTATATATACACACACAAGGGAAGTAGCAACAGTTCTTTCCATTTAGAGCGCTGTTTATCATGTATTCCATTAGTTTGTTATCTGTATAGGTTAGGGTTAGGGTTAGGGTTAGGGTTAGGGTAGAGAAGCAGTTATATCCTGACATTCTAACCTGTCTCTATTTCTCCTTGCAAAATCCGAACAGTGTGGAAGGAATTCATTAACAAACGTTTACCTGGATTTTTTTACATGGTCGCTTAGTCTTGAATGCCTGAATAAAGCGTTCCCTATCCTCACAGCTCCTTGGCTGCATTTACACTGCAAGACCTAATGCTGTGATCCACTTTGTCACATATTTTATTTTATTTATTTATTTTGTAATGTGCTTGTGAAATTAGAGTTTTGAATGCTCCATCATGGCCCTTAGAAATGGTCTTGTAGACAAGTTTTTTTTTGGATCCCATTCTTCAAATTACTTATTTTGTGTCTCACAGAATAAAGAAAGTCATACGTGTTTGTAACAACATGAGGGTGAGTAAATGGTGACAGGATTTCCATTATTGGGTGAACTATCCCTTTAAGGAATGTGTTATAAAAAAAAAAAAGGTTTTCCAAGGACAACTGTAGTCTGTTGCCTCATTTTGTGTCTCTTTTAAAGTGCGGCTACATTGTTGTAGGGATTTGTATCTGAATGTTACATTGAATAACGCGCATTGCTTTGTTTATCCGCTATCGGCTTATTCTCTGAGTCAGAACCACTTTACCACATCACACAATAGTCTACAGACAAGGCTGGATCACAAACGCTCTGCTGCTGGCTGTAGCTTCAAACACATTGAATCTCTGATACCTTTCCACAGATTCACCTCCGGAGTGCTCTGTCTGAGGTCAGCTTTACTCAGCCAGCTGGAACAGCTGTCTCGGCATTTGTTTCACCAGAGAAACACTGATCGCCTCAGATGTACCTTGCAGGTCCTGTCAGCTCTGTTCCGCTTCCCGGTGAGAAACACGCTGAGGGAGCTCCACATGCAGGGAGGTTGTTTTGCAGGGCATTTGCATTCTCTACATAGCAGCACCTTACATTTACATTATATCTTTGTAGTATTTTCTTGTTGTTGATTGTCTAGGTGTGTTATGTAGATCATTTACTTCTCATCAGCATTTAATCTCAGATGTTTATTTTTTTGTCAGATGGTAGATGGTCTGGACCAGACAAGTTACACCTATGCAAGGTATTTACTAAATAATGTTTGGTTACACTTTATTTTAAGGTGACGTTGACGTATTACATTGTACTTACTCAAATAAGGGCTTGGTTTAGGGTTAGTTACTTGTAATTATGCATAATTTGGGTCTGTAAGATTTTTTTTTTTGTGCTTCTTATGCTCACCTGCATTTGTTTTATCAGAAATACAGTAGAAACATTAATATTGTGACATGGCATTACTATTTTTTTTGTATATTAATATATTTTGAAATGTCATTTATTCGTGTGATGACAAAACTGGATTTCCAGTCTTCAGTGTCACAAGATCCTTCAGAAATAACTCTAAAATGTTTATTTGGTGCTCAAAAAATATTTATTATTATTATTATTATCATTATCATTGTTGAAAACAGTTGTGCTGCTTAATACTTCTGTGGAAACCGTTATGTTTTTTTGTTTTTTTTTGTTTTAATAGAAAGTTCAAAATAACAGCATTTATTATAATGAAGAAATCTTTTGTTACATTATAAATGTCTTTACTGTCACTATTGGTCAATTTAATGCATCCTTGCTGAATAAAAGTATATTCCTTTCTTTCAAGAAAAAAATCTTAATGACCCCAAACTTTTGAACAATAGTGTACCTTTAACCTGAAATAAAAATCTAATAGAACTGCAGAATGAATTTACATAGACATAGCAATTTGCAGAATTACATTAAAGGTCAATCCCTAAGTGAAAATGCTAAATTAGTTTAAGTGACTAAATAAAACCATTTGGTCAGTAACTTCATTAGGAATTGCAGCATGATCAAATTAGAATTGAACAGTAAGAACTTTTCTGGAACTTGCTGTTGACACAACGTGGGCATTTTAAATCAAAGACGTACAATTTGCCTGCTAAATGTTGTGACCCACGCGTCATCTAACAACTTTACCTCAGCTTTTTGTTCTGTCCAGAAGTCCATTTGGTGTATCCAATAGGAATATTCCTCATATTAAGCAACCATAGTTTCACAGACTGTAAACTTACTCAAGTTGTATATAATGCTGCGACTGACGACGAAAACCACTACAAAATCCCATTTACATAGGGGCAAATTATATATATTTAGGCTATTTTGGGGGTGTGGCCTTTAAGAGACATTTTGCCGGAACATTTTCTCAATCCACCCACCATTGGCAGGTGTGGCACAAAGTTAGTTTATGACCCTGATTACTTTAGATTGAACAAATAGCCAAGAATCAAGCTGTTCAAACTCATTGCCAACTATCCTGCTGTCTATGACTGACAGCATGTTGCCTTCTGTTGAAAAATGGATGCTGACAGCTATTAGAAATCGCATCCACAGGCTCTAATCAGAATTATATTTGGCTTCCTGCCAGCTTGAATCCTCAGACAGATGTCTATGGGCCAGGATGTTAGATTGAGTTTCTCCCTCGTGAACCCTGGACAAGAGAAAGTCAACACAATTCACACAAAAACCCACCTGAGTGCTGTAATCAATTAACACTGTTACACTAAAGGCAAGGGGTGCATTAAAGAGGGGACGTGTTCATTAGAAGCCAATCAATTGTCATTAAAGCCTCTTATTTATTTTTTTCTTGACAGTTTATTTCTGTTTCACAATTGCTTTCATTTCATTTAGCATGAACATTCTTTATTCATTATTATTAAACAAGTCTCTGGAATACTGGATTCTAATTAGTCAACCGCATCATCCAGTATTCTCCAATATTTTCTAATCTTCATGTCATGTCATCATTATTAGTATTAGTAGTATTGCGGTGTTCGTCTTGTTGCTAGGCAGATTGTTTTGTACATTGTACTATTTTGACAATCTTTACCATTTTTTTAAGATAATATACTGTAAAGGTAAGATTATGAAATAAATCAATTGTCTTGGATACTCCTGTTACTTACTTCATTGTAAGTAAGCACCCCCCCCCCCCCTATCATTAGTTTCCTATCATTAAATATATATATTGCTTCTCAGCGCATTGAATGTTGTATTGATTTGGGAATTTAAAGCTTCAGTCTTTGTGAGCGGCTATGTATGTTGGTTGTGTCTTTCTGTATGAGACTGGCACTATTCATTTTGATGTCCGATCCGAATGGGAGTTGGACAACGACAAAGGCAAGGAGCAAAAATTAACTATATTTCCTGGTTGAATTGGGCTGTGAGTGAATCGTTCTTCAATTTGACCTGAATAGAAAAATATTTGAACGGCAGCATTCATTTTCAGCTTGCATTAGGGACTTAACCAAAACTGAGGCAATGCATTAAATATAACAAAATTCTAAACAAAATGTTTAGTACAAAACTGAGCATGCTCGGTGTTTGTCCTATATTTTGCCAGAGACTGGGGAGGCAAGCCAAAAAGATCTGTGTTCCTCTGTTAGTGTGTAAGAACATGTTCAAAGTTAATTTACATCTTTATCTCTCCTTCTTTTTAAAATAATCAATCCGTGCTGCTCTATTTTCACTTCTAAAGCGCAGATATGCTGGCAGAGGCTGCAATCTTTCTCCCTGTGATTTCATCTGTGGGATGTTTTCTATCAAAGCCAGCTTGTCCTCAAAGTCTCATATCCTCTATTTGAAGCTGTGCCACATTTTGGCATTGGTGTGTATGTGTGTATCACTGCTCACGAAAGAAGTGACACTGGTGATCCCTGGTGCTTAATTTTTTCCTCATCATCGTTAATGTCAGGTTCAGATATTTCTTTTATATAAGCAGGTTCAATCCAATAGAGCAGACATATCTTGGAAAACAGGATTTTTCTGGCTCTTTTGAAATAAAAAGTTTGATGTACCATGTAGACATGCTCTGACATTCATAAAGCAAAGCTTTCTCTTAGTCCATAGTAACTATTTATGGAGATTTATGCAGCAAAAATGGGTATTGATGTCACACCCATGAGCAGATTTACATATGACCGCCTACGTTTGCATATCAGCTCCTAGTATTTGGTATTCAGCAAATTTGTGTGTTTGTTTAATATTTGAAAAGGTTAGCCAATCAATCATAATAAACATCATTTACACTCCTGTTCACAAGTTTGGAGATGGTAAGATATTATTTTTATGTTTTTGAAAGTCTCTTATCCTCACCAAGGCTGCATTTATTTGATAGAAAAATTGTGAAATATTATTAGAGTTTAAAATTCTATTTGAATACATTTTAAATGTAATAAATGAGCCGTTACTCCAGTTTTTAGTGTCACATGATCCTTCAAAAATCATTCTAAGAAACATTCTTATAATTATCATCAATGTTGAAAACAGATGTGCTACTTAAAATAACCAATACATTAATCAGGACTATTTGATGAATAATATGTTTGACAGAACAGCATTACTTGTAACATTATTAATGTCTTTACTGTCACTTTTGATCAATTTAATGCATCCTTATTATTGTTTGAAATTAATATATAGTTTTTTTTTCTAAATAATCATATATATATATATATATATATATATATATATATATATATATATATGATTATTTAGAAAAAAAGCTATTTCGTTTACAAATGATAGGATAATTTCAATAATAAAAAAAAGTTTCCTCTAGTTGGGAAATAGGGCAACCATATTGAATCCGCCAACAATCCTATGACCTGTAAGTAACCAGTTTCATTTTAATGTTTTATCAGAGGAGGCATTAAAAATATAAAAGTAATTTTAGACGGACAGACATCGAGTAACTGAAATGACACAGCGACCCAAAGCGTTACAGCCACTCATCCGGACAGTGAACCCAGCAAATAATGCAAAATGCCAGTCACAGACACTTAAGCTTATCTGGAGAAACTTAATAACAAGGCTTCACAGGAATAAGCTCTTAGGGCTGTCAGCGCAGTATCACAATAGGCTGATGAAATGGCTTAATCAGCCTCCTCCTAACCATTCATCTGAAACCTTCAATATTATCCCACCTCAGCAGGAATTACGCTACAATTCCATGCAAGAGACAGAGACAGAAAGAGAGAGATGATTAGCGTCTTATCCTGCCAGAACACTAGCTTTTACCCAGACTGCCTTGCTCTTCCTGTTGACACGTGTGGTGTAGTCATTCATCCTCCTGTTGGACACGCTCAAGTGATTCAGTACGCTGCCATATCCAATATGACTGTGATCTCTTGTTGTAAAACATATTTGAATGCAATTTCTTTTCTGTGGCACTACAATGCCTTGTTTTTATCAGCATACTGATATATATTCTTGTCTTATGCTGTCTTGTATAAGTGAGGCCCCTCTTGAATGGGAATATTTGAACATCCATCAAATGATGAGCTGAACTCTTATGAGTGAGGGTGTTTATATGTATATATACTATATATATAATGTGTGTGTGTGTGTGTGTGTATATATATATATAGCTACTGTATGTATATGTGTGTACTTGTAACATCTCTTAAAATTTGAAAAACGCAATAAAATAAGACAATAAAATACTTGAAGCTACTATATTATTTCTTCTTCATCCTACATAATAGAAAAGGTGTCCTAATTAAAGAATCATCTGTGTATAAATGGATTATGATGGGACTTTCTTTAAAAAACTGCAGACATACGCAGTCCAAGCGGTGTGCTTTATCAGCTTGTCAAGTGTGTGAAGCACAGGTAATGTTCCCTGCAATATCTTATTATCCTACTCTAAATTGAAGTTTCATTAAAAAAGGCCCAATGGGTACTCGCTCCAGCGGTCTCAGATTTAGAAGTCTGCCCACCTACCACCAGGCATTTTAATCAAAGTTAAATCAAGGAAAAATGAAATCTTATCAGTGCACGTCGGCTCATTTCTCTGTCTCCCCTTCCTTAAATCAGTCAGAGATCCCAGGGAATCATGCCTTTATTCTTTACTGGTGGTTTGTACAAGTTTTAATTTCAGCTACAGCAGACTTTCTCAGCTTTTGTAAGAAATAAAAGGTTGATTACTGCCTGAGGTATTCAGATGCAAGCTGGATTTCTGGGTGAAAACAAAAGGCACGGAGACAAAAACAAGCACAAAGGGGAAGTAAGAAATAATTATTTTGTTATATTTTGTTTGCGAATTAAAAATCTTGAAGGAATAGTTCAGCGTTTTCTGATACATTACATTACATTGTTTATTATTGTTACACTCTCAGAAAAAAAAGTGTATAGAGTACAACAGCTTGTCACTTGGGCATTACCCTTAAAAACTTTCTTTGTACCTTATTTACCTTAAAAGGTCCATAGTACCTTATGCTACTCTAAGGTACTAATATGCACCTTTTAGGGGTAAAAAAAAGGTACAAATATGACATTTTAAGGGTCCTGACCTGTAAGACTGGAAGAACTGGTTGATGGAATCAACCTCACCACAGGTCTATAAGACAAAGGACCTTGCTTGCACATTAACATTTGAACATCTCACACACACACACCCCGCACCCCCCTTCCTCTGAGCACCTTATCTACATTTTCTCTCTCTCTCAGTCAGTAACACTAAAAACGCACACAAGAATATATGGTTTTAATGTGAATGTGATTATCTTTAAGGATTGTTTAGTATCATTTTAAAGGTCTCAGGGTGGCTGGTACAAATGTCTCATTCCCAAAGAAGTAAATCAAAAGGTAATAAAGTTCTTAAGAATATAGAAATATCTTGCACACAGAAGGGTGTGTCTTTGAGTTAACACCTTCTGACCATTTGTCTGAATGCTAATTTTCACTGTTCCTAGCAAATGGTCAAACTTCTATCCTCAGTAAGTCTGGGGAGGGGACCACAGTAAATTACATATCAAAGGAGGTCTGGATATATAATGAAATGCAACGGAGAGTTCAGGGCTCTTTCTGTATTTCAGATAGCCCGTGAGGTTAGCTCATGTATTTCTTAAATGTTGGGTTTGCATCTATTTCTCTTATCCTAGAGCATTCGATGTTTTGTATTGATGATCTTTGAACTGATTATGAAATTGGCATAATACTTTTACCTGACACAATAAATTGTTATATTTGATTATTCTAACAGACTTTGACGTTATTTTCATTGGAGTTAAAAGGAGTAGTCAAACATTAACGGATATTTAATGATGCACAGATATCATTGAAAAACCTTTTCATTTTATGGAGTCAGATGAAACGAGTATATACATAAGATAAAATGTATTGCATTTAATTAAAAATCCCTTTGCCTTTGCCATGGGAAGAGACGGAACACGCGTGAGACCTTCACCGCTAATTTGAATTCCGCTATTGGATCGAATTAGACGGGCTTACAGACCCACATTTCTTTCTGAGTGTATGGTAAAGAAATATCTGTATTTATTTTATTTATTTTTAACAGAAGGTCTCCTATTGTGTTCCAGGTAATACATACAACATGCAGGTTTAACATGAAGATGAGTAAATAATGTCAACATGTTCATGTTTAGGTTAACTATTCTTTTAAGGCTGCATCTTCAAGTAAAATGTCTTCAGAGAAAACACTAAAAATGTTCTGCAAAAATGTCTCCCTATTACATTACAAATAGGTGGGAATATTGTCTTTCACAAAACCAGTTTATTTAATATATTGTACTCCAGAATATTGAAGAAATGTGTTCTCTGCCTTGGGTTCATCTTCTTTTTCTGATGTCTATAAAGCAATAAACATCAGCATTATGGCTTCAGGCCCACATTAGACCAGAGCAGTGTCTGATTGGTTTGAATGACCTTGAGAGCACAATAACTGTCCAGGCCATTTCCTGCATATCTGTAAAGGAATTGTATTCACACGTAGCAATTTTTTTTTAAACTTATTATGCTTATTTGTAATTTTTTTAAATGTGTTTGTTTTATTCATTACCTTCAAAGAATACTGCACACTGTAAGAATGTCCACCCATTTCAACTTAAAAACGTAAGTTCAGTTGCTGCTTTAAATTAAGTAGAATCAACGTGGTTGTACAAGTCATTTCAACTTAAATTATATTAAAGGGTTAGTTCACCCCAAAATTATGATATTAATGACTCACCCTCATGTCGTTCCAAGCCCGTAAGACCTCCGTTCATCTTCGGAACACAGTTTAAGATATTTTAGATTTAGTCCGAGAGTTTTCTGTCCCTCCATTGAAAATGTATACACGGTATACTGTCCTTGTCCAGATTTTGGTCCAAAAATAAGAAAAACTACGACTTTATTCAGCATTGTATTCTCTTCCGGTTCTGTTGTCGAGCCGCGTTCAGTGATGCTGATGACATAAGACGCTTCTGACGTGTTATCAGTGCGCCCGAGCTTCGTTTACAGTCTCTGAGGGAGACGCACGCTGTATTCAAAACAATCTTCGCAAAGATGTCTAAGGATTTCGACACAGAGGAAGACTTGCATTGAACCCGAATACACAGACGCACCAGATACACGTCAGCAGCGTCTTACGTCAGTACCGTCACTGCGGACTCGTGAACGCGGATTGACAACAGAACCGGAAGACAATACAATGCTGAATCGTAGTTTTTGTTATTTTTGGAAACATTTATTTTCGTTGCTTCAAAACATTCTAACTAACCCACTGATGGCACATGGTCTACTTTGATGATGTCTTTATTTCCTTTCTGGACAAGGACAGTATACCGTACATACATTTTCAATGGAGGGACAGAAAGCTCTCGGACTAAATCTAAAATATCTTAAACTGTGTTCCGAAGATGAACGGAGGTCTTACGGGCTTGGAACGACATGAGGGTGAGTCATTAATGACATAATTTTCATTTTTGGGTGAACTAACCCTTTAAACTGACTTAAAAAGATGAATATCATGTAACTCATGAATCTCATATAAATATTTTATTAAAAAAAGTTGAAATTGCTTAAATTATTTGTAAATGTTAAAGTAATGTAAAAACATAAGTTGCCATGACTTACTTATGATTTTTTTAACAGTGTATTCAGCACCTGTAGCTTATTATGTTTATACATTTTAATATGCTCTATCGTTTGTATTTTTTTGCCATCATGTGACAGCACAGTCAGTTGATATGACTGAAAAATTAAAGATCAAAAAGATGTGATCAGTGGTTTTGTAGCCACAGTTATTACAATGCGGAATTTCTATAGCCCACTTTTACTCTCATATTTCCCTTTTAATAATGAAAGGGATTAAGACACCACACAGGTAATCATTGATTCCCGCTTCCAATTCACTCATGCAAACAAAGTCGATACGAACATCTGATTTCTTGACTCGTTTCCACAGCCTCATCAGAATATCAAAGCCCTGCTGTCCCCATGAGGCTCTTGGTTATTTTGTGTCTCCTGCTTGTAATCTCACATTTATAACCTCTTATTTCTCTCTACTCAGGTCTGCCAAGGAAGGGTAAGAAGTCTCCTTTTATTTTCTCTTCCCATATTGTTTTTCAGAGTCTAAATGCATTTGATGCTCTTCAATATGATCACCTAGGTATCTGCAATAAAGCCGTTACAGTGGCAGAGAAATAACAGCTTTAGTTTGCATTACGACCTGTGCACCAGAATGATGAAACCTGTCATGACCTCTGCAGTGCAAAAGGTAATGGAAAATAGAAAGTTATTTTTAAGCCAAGCATTTATGTAGCACAATGCATTCAGCACAAGAATTTAGAGGATTGCGGTTGAAGGAAAGGGTTGAATAGCTGTGATTGAGAATAAACACCATTTGATGTGCGACATTTGTCAGATGCTAAGTCAGCATAAAAATAGATGAATTCTCATTTCTGCTTCAGAATGAGGTTTTCCCGGTGTCTGAGCAACCTGAATATGTGTTCAAGCAACAGTTCACTCGAAAATGAAAGTTCTGTCACCATTTACTCACCCTCATGTTGTTCTAAACCTGTATGTCTTCTTCCATAGAACATGAACAGAGATATTTGGTCATATTTTTTAATGCAATTGGAAGTGGTTCTTAATCTTCCAAGAAAGATTCAAACACTATAAAAAAATTCAAGTGCTTCATATGACTATACAAGTCTTCTGAAGTCATACAATAGCTTTGTGTCAGGAACAGACATTTTTAAACCATTATTCACAGTGAGCTTTTAGCCATTGGAACCAGATCATTGAGTCAATTTTGAACTTGAGAACAGGATCAGTCTAATTTGTGTATGAATCGATTATACTGCTTTTGTGAACCGGAACAGCCGAGAACATCCCACTCAAAAGAATGATTCACTCATGAATCAGACATTGCTACTTCTCTCATTAAAAAGTGTGTTACAATTTCTCCATTGCTTTCGCATACGGGTTTGGAATGACGTGATAATTGACAAAATCTTCAGTTTTGGGTGAACTATCCCTTTAAAGATGAATAGACACAATACTATCAAATGTGTTCACTAGGCTGACCATTGCTACTTTCAGTTTTATTTTCTTAGCGATGATGCATTTTCAAAATCCATCTCCCACTGAACTTGTTGGAAAAATCTGAAAGTAAATGTATTAAAACAAACGCTTGAATATCCCACATTTGATTTTAATTGGTTTTCATTCTGAATGCACCAACAAGTGATTGTCTGTCAGTAATTGGACCGTACTGATCATGACTTTTTGGACTGTGCACCATCATATCTTTCAACCACTCAAAGGCGCCTGGCTCTACCCTGGGTCTTCTGCGATGCCAAATCCAGCGTTTGAGCACCGCAGCTGTGTAGTGCAGATAGCTTGCTGTCAAAAGCTGTTTCTCAGGCGAGGGACAATTATGCTCAATCAGAGATGATGCTTTACTGAGTGTTTTCCTCCCTCTCATGCGCCTCTGATTTGGTTTACGAGAGAATGTGACTGATGGCGATCTTCCAGAGATGTTGAGCGAGTGGGGTTTTAAAATTGCAACAGCAGCCAATTATGGAACAGAGAGAGCACATGCTCATTAAATTTGCACTAGAATCTCGGCATTTTGAAACCATTAGCTCTGAAACTTTATTCTCTATTTCAGATGTTTCTCTGGGAGCATACTGCTAATAGAAGTAGCGGTGTAAAGCATTATGGAAATTCTGTGTACCAGCAGATGTGAACAGTTGAGAGTGCAGTGATCATGTTGATACACCAGCAATTGAGGCTGGAATTCAGTTTGTTTGTTTTCTGTGCCGCATGGTGCCCATTGACGGCACATTGAAGTGCACTAGTTCATGTTCAAATTGAACCTTTAAAGGGAAAGTCATCCAATTCAGCCTTTCATAGTTCATTTACTCACCTTGGTATGGGAATCGTGAATAATTTAAAGGTGTAGTTGACCCAAACATGAAGATTTTGTCATTGATTATTCACTCTCGTGTTGTATAAGACTTTCATTCATCTTTAAAACACAAATGAAGATTTTTTTATGAAATCTGAGAGATTTCTGTCCCTCTATTGAAAGTCTATTCACCCAAACCTCTTGATGGTTTAAAATGACGAAGATGAATTGAACGAAAATCTTATTGGTTGGAACAACATGAGGGTGAGTAAACTATCCCTTGAAGAAAATGATTAAATTTGGGTACCCTGTTGTTAAGGAAAATTCCGATTGCTTTTAGTGATTCTTGTTCCTTAACGATCCCATTAATAATGATGGAAATTCCAAATTCTGAGATTGAAGACTTTTTATGTCTTTTCAGATTTAGCATAAATGCAATGCAATAATTTACCTTTATATAAAAAAAGTAGTTGTGTAACGCGTTGTCACGTCACACCTCACCACATCCAGTGTCAATCTTAAAAAATAATAGTTATTTATTAGCATTGATTGTCCCATAAAGAACCTTTAACATCCATGGAATCTTTCAACTGTACAAAATGATCTTTATAGTGGAAAAAGGTTCTTTAGATTATTGTTGTTTGATACTAAGAGAAAATAGTTACCTGTTCACTGAAAGGTTATTTGTTGAACCCAAAAATGGTGCTATGGCACTTTTCTGCAAAAAAAGCATCGATTATAATTGTTTCTTTTGCCTTTTATCACATCGGAACGTGTTTTGGCGCTCATGCCCGGTGTGTGAGGACTTTGCTATTCTCTTAGAACAGTATTTATAGTTGTATTTATCATTCTTGGTGTGAACAGGCCTTTACAGTTGTACGTTGTAGGCCTATGTTTGTCAGTAATGAACTGGTTTTACTGATGATCTTTGGCTCACATTGTGCACTATTTGAATGATGCATGCTATGCAGAGCGTTTCAAATCAGTCACTTATGCTTCCATTTCAGTTAGGATGCTGTCAGCAGCTAGGTAACGAGGGTTCTCTGTAAAAAAAAAACAGCAAACAATGTCCTGTTTTGTGCAACAACATCAGCATTTTCTAGCACAAGTTTCAAGGAAAAGTGAGGTTTTCCCTTGCTCAGCAGTGAAAAAGAGGTTTAATTTGCACTCCAAAGTGACAGCGAGTGTAGATAAGCACTATCACACTCACCTCGCAGAGAACCGCATGTTTCAATTTTAGATTTTGATTTAATCCTAAAATCCTTGTTCCAAAATCTGTGTTTTCGAACGCAACAGTAAAGCAGTGGATTTTAATTAAGATCTTCAAGCAGAGCCCAAGATAAAGATTGATGATACAATCAGTTATAGCCTGTATGTGAAGAATGAGATGTTTTTCTAGTTACTAATACGCTCACTACAGTGAATTATTAAGACTGTGCTTCTGCTCCTCGTGCATTCATAATAATATTTCATCACACGTTACAGTCATCCAGCCTCATTCGATGCAAATTATTATTGCTGTAATATATTAGCACAAACATCAACACATTTTTTTGGCTTATTTATTATTTGTGAGTGTGTGACCCAACTGTAAAATTCCACTTACTGTTGTGAGTGGAAAGAACATCATATTAGATCAATAACAGACAGCCCGTGTGTGTGTGCGTGTGTGTGTACGTGTGTGTGTGCTCACAAAACTCACCCTACCCGATGCGAAACTTGGAGGCGAGACCCCTCAAAAACTCATCTGTCTCTGGCTCCACTACACTGTCATCTGTATTCCTCTCTTTAAGGAATACCGTTATATGCCAGGATCAAATGGCATTCTGTCAGCATCCTGCCATGCATTTCTAGCTTCCCCAAAAACCCTTGTTATTCTCCACAGCAGGATTGGTAAAAATGGACAAAAAAGAACAGAAAAACAATAGAGGATACTATCTCTACTTGTTCACGTAAGCTATTAAACTGCAACATTTCCGTTGTAAATGTGATAATTGCATTTTACACTTTCTGTGGTTGGAACAATACATCTATTATATTATTTCTATTTATATTGTGGTAATTTTCTCTCGAGGAACTGTTTTACTAGAATGTGTTTCTCTGTTTTCTGTGCCAAACTCTGCAAGGATCTCGTGATTCTGAACTCCCACTTCAGAGTGTGAACTCATCGCACTGCCGTTTTGCATAATTTCTCTTATAAAGCACTGAATCTTTTGTTGGAGCCGCAGTCTGCATCCTTTGTACTAGTACAATCAATGCTGTATTTCTGCTTTTCCCTCACATCATTTCATGTTTTTGGCTCTGATTCGAACAGAAAAAAAAAAAAAAATATATATATATATATATATATATATATATATATATATATATATATATAACTGAGCTGTTTCAAAACAGACAAGCGTTCAAAACAAGATTCATCCACCCACTTGGATTATGTCGTGTTGAAACAGAAGGCCGGAGAGGGATGCTTTGTTCCTGTGTAGGGATTTTCCTGACTCAGGTATTAACGGATCTCAAGCAGCGGATCCCAGAGAGGGGGGACTTGAGAGTGCACGATTGGGAGTGATACGATTTCTCTTCTTGGTGATAGTGGGAAAGGAAAGAGTGGAATAAAAAAGATACAAAAGTGATTCTGCTCCATTTAACAAATCTAAGCTAAAAATCTTGGATGCACGTTCACCCTTGCTTCTCACTTGAATAGGTTTGTGATTAATGAGTAGCATCTGAAACACAGTATAATGAGATATAAATAATGTTGTTACCAATCCGCGTAGTGATTGCGACTGCTGGAACCCGGAAAAAATCCATTAGTTAGGTAAAACACTTCAACAAACATTCAGCTGAAAATCTAGCAGAGGTATTTGTGAGGAGAGTATTGATTGAGATGTTTTTTGTGCTCAGCAGGTTTTGCCTTCAGAGCCGACGGTCCATAGGTCTCTTAATATACGAGCGTGTGCCGTTAAATGGAAAGCGTGTGCGATGCTTTCCATGCTGTGATTGCTCAGCAGGTTTGCTCTTTTCACGACTCAAAACCCTCCTAAGGGTTAAAGTGCGGTCAGAAATGTCCCTGGTTTGTGTTCTTTGGTCCACCTAAGCTTTTACTGCTATTCTGAGATACAGGTCATTACTATTACAGGTATGACTGAATTAGATTTCCTAATGTATTTAGAAAAATGGCATATACTTTTTTTTTTTTTACTTTAAAACCCATGAAATCAAAATAGTAGTTTTGTGTTACTTGTGTAACTTCTAAAAAAAAAATGTTTTATTGCAATTATAAATAATACTACATAGATCCTACCATTCAAAAGTTTTGGGTCGGAATTTGTTTTAAATATTTTTGAATGAAGTCTCTTATG